AAAGCATTCCCCTTAAGAACAGGAATAAGACAAGGATGTCCACTTTTGCCACTCTTATTTAACATAGTACTGGAAATCTTGGCCACAGCAATCAGACATGAAGAAAAAATAAAAGGGATCCAAATTGGAAAGGAGGAAGTGAAACTGTCATTATTCACAGATGACATAATACTATACGTAGAAAACCCCAAAATTTACTAGATTTGGCAAAGTAGCATAATACAAAATTAATGCAAGTAATTGACGACATTCTTATACACCAATGATGAAGTCACAGAAAGAGAAACCAGAAAAATAATCCCATTTACCATCGCAGCAAAACATTAAGATACCTAGGAATAAACTTAACCAAAGAAATCAAGGACCTATTTGCAGAAAACTATAGGTCATTGAAAAAAGAAATAGAGGAAGATATAAAAAAGTGGAAGCACATACCTTGTTCATGAATTGGAAGAATTAACATCATTAAAATGTCCATACTACCCAAAGCAATCTATTCGATGTGTTCCTTTCACATCGATGTTTCTCTCTCTCTCTCTGTTCCTCTCTCTCCTTCCCACTCTACCTGAACAAAAAATGGAAAAATGTCCTATGGTGAGGATAAAAAAAAAAGTTTATATGGAACAACCCCCTCCCCCCCAATAGCCACAGCAATCTTGAAATAGAACAAAGTTGGAGGGATCACATTACCAGATTTCCTGTTATACTACAAAACCACTGTAATCAAAACAGCCTGGCACTGGCACAAGAACAGGCAGATAGATTAATACAACAGAATAGAGAACCCAGAAATGGACCCAAGACAATATGCTAAATTAATATTTGACAAAGAGGGCAAGAGCGTACAGTGGAGTAGAGATAGCCCCTTTAATAAATGGTGTTGGGAAAATTAGACAGCTACATGCAATAAAATTAAACTAGACCATCAACTTAACACCATACACAAGAATAAACTCAAAATGGATGAAAGACTTAAACGTGACTCATGAATCCATAAATATCCTAGAAGAAAGTGTAGGCAACAAAATTTCAGACATCACATGCAGCAGAATTTTCACTGATACAACACCTAAGGCAACAGAAACAAAGGAGAAAATGAACACATGGGACTACATCAAACTCAAAAGCTTCTGCACAGCAAAAGAAACAACCACCCAAATGGAAAGGCAACCCACTCTACTATCTGAGGAAGGACCAACAAGGAATGATGAAAATAAAGTAGATGGGGTGAGTTTCCCAAAAGGCCAAAGAGGGAACTCCAGCCATGGTCCAGGAGATGGAGGGAACAAAGATCACTGGAAGAGCCACATAGGAAAGATGGCAAAAAGGATCAAGACTCTCAAACTGCACCTGAGCCCAAGAAACCTGAAGAAAATTCAGCTCCAAGTTCAGTTCTGCAAGCAAGTATGCTGCTCTCTCTGTTGATGGTGAAAATGAAAACAAGGCAGAAGATTACACTGAGTAGACCTCTACATCCTAGGTTTTTTCTGAGTCTCTCTTTAACCTGGAACATTCAAGAGCAAATCAAAACTATCCAGACAAGACAAAATGAAATGCACCATCTCCTGAAGCCTTTTTAACTTAAAACAAACAAACAAAAACAAAATGAAATGAACTTCTTTTGCATGCTGCTGCTCTCTTTTAATTATTGAACTAATTGGAGAATTGCCAATATAGCCAGAGAGAAAGACGCATGTTAGTGGAAAAGGTGTGCATTTTTATGACACATGCAGTTGCCTGTGTGATTAATGCCTCCATTTAGGAAAACGGCAATGACAGTGATTCGATGGCTGGAATCTGACTGGGCAGTAGGACAGATATGAGGAAGAATATGAGATTTCTACCTTTAATTTTTACTATTCTAATGTGGCATATATGAATTCTAACATCTGAATAAATTCTCCATCTTTGGAAAGGTAGGTTAATCTCTGAATTTTTAGTCCCCAGGAGGCTGCCAGCCCCCCCTCTTATTTAATTCTGAGTTACTGGGGCCAGCCTAGGGGAAATTCCTTCATTTTTACCCCCCAGGGGGTAGCTGGGAGTGAGTCTACAGGCCACTAAAGAATAGGACTATTTGATGACCAAAATAAGTGGGGAAATTGTGGTTTGAAAAGAAGCTTTGGGGAGGTGATGGATTATTTTGTAACAGTAATAGGGAAAATGGTATGACCTCCAATAAACACACAATGGTTACTTCCTGGAGCAGGAAGCACTTAGGGGGTGTGGGAATTCCCAAGTTTTCTGTGTGTCCTGGTTTTGCCATTTCTTAAATACTCTCTATCCTATCTATCCTTTCTGAAAGTTCAAGTATCTCCCCTGTTGAAATCTTGAAGCTTTAAAAATTTAGACTCCTCTCATCTTGTGTTCCTCATGCTAGTCTTTCCTATTACCTTCCAAATAGCAGCTTCTGTTGAAGCCACACAAGCAGACTCCCAGGCATCTGGATCCAGCCCCTGGGGGCTGTCAAATGAGGAATCACTGCTCTTCTCAAGAAAATCTTGGCTCCTGTCTCTGGCTCTCCTGTTCAGTCCTGCTCCTGATTCAAGCTTTGACCCCTTTTATACCAAACTCTAGAATGGTCTTAGGTGGTGAGTGAGGGTGGATAAATAGGAACAGTTAAACGGGGAGCCTTTTTTATGACCTTGATTGGGGTTTTTGTTTGGGGCTTTTTATTTTTGGAGTTTGTTGGGGTATTTTGTTTGTTTGTTTGTTTGTTTTTACAAGTTTCCTTCACTGAAACCCCACACCGATGTTTGGATTTATAATGTGGCCTAGATCAATGTGTGGTTTTGTTTTGTTTTTAGCTCCCCTTGAGAATAAATAATAATGGAGAGGGGAAAAAAAGTCAAGATTAACACCTATTTATTTATTTTTTTAAATTAGGGAGTCCATACTTGTAGGAATTACTTAGGTTTTAAATTTTTCTTGGGGACTGGAACTAGATGGAATAAACTCATCATTATTGGTCCATCTCAGGGTACAAAGTACTTATTTTTTTGTTTTTGTTTTTTTTTATCCTCACCCGAGGACATTTTTCGATATTTTGTTCAGATAGAGTGAGAGGGAGAGAGAGAGAGAGAAACATCGACGTGAAAGCGACACATCGAGTGGTTGCCACCCACACGACCCAACCAGGGCCGGGGACAAACTGCAACCAAGGTACGTGCCCTTAGCGGGAACCGAACCCGGGTCTCTCTGGACCGCAGGCCAACGCTCTAACCACTGAACCAAACCGGCCAGGGCTTATTTTTTTTATTCTGACATTTCATAATGGAAGTAGGGCAAAGCATCAGCTGGGGTTCTACACTGGGAAGAATAAAAATTTCTAGAGAAACATCTGGGCTATTACTATAAATAGCAGAATTAGCTTGTGTGCTACATTAATGAACTTTTTTGTTCAAGTGTTCTCTAAAATAATTTTGAATTCTGACTATGAACATTTTAAACATATAATAGTATAATTAACATTCATACACCCCTCACCCATTATCAAGATTTTGCATATTTCTTCTTCCTTTCTTTTTCTTGTTTTCTTTGTTAGGCACATGTCCTTTTCTCTCATACACCTCAGTGTGTGTATAAGAAACATAATTCATTAATCACAATGCCACATCCATCAAGAGTTAGATCTCTTAAATTGTCTCCAAAATGTCTTTTTTTTTTTGTACGTGACCCTAGCGGGAACCGAACCCGGGACTCTCTGGTCCACAGGCCGATGCTCAACCACTGAGCCAAGCTGGCCAGGGCCTCTAAAATGTCTTTTTACAGTTGTTTCATTTGGATTAGGATCCAAACAAGTTTCAAACATTACTTTTAATTTTATGTCTTTTAAGTGTCTCTTAACCTTTTCATGCCATTGACTTGTTGTAGAAACAATTGTCCTATGAAATGTCCCACATTCTGGATGTGTTTGTTTCTTTGTGGTGTCATTGAACTTGTTCCTCTAAACCCCAGGCATCCAATACATGCAATTGAGCTCTAGAGCATGTATTTTCAACGGGGGTGTATTGGAAATTTTAGATGATTTCTTTTCTCTCTTGGTCTTGTCTTTCTATTCCATTATTACCCCCCAATGTTTTGTTAATGTAATCCTTTTTTATTCTTGAAAGTATTTTATTGATTGTATTTCTCTGCAAAAAAACTTTGGGCTGATATGGCAGACTGCTGGATAGTCCCCAGTAGCCATTCTACCTTTTCTGTCCAGTATTAACACTGGGCTAGGTCCACTTTTCATGTGAATTTCTCAACCTGGGGTCCCAGGCCATTCAAGTAGAATACATTTTTTTTTCCCATAATTGAGATTTTATTATTTGTTTTGAGGATAAGTACACAGACATTTCAATTTGTGCACAATTCTTAACATACGTACCAAAAATGTAAAGTCATGTAGTTGTGATTCTTTTCTAGACTGTTATTCCAGTGACTTTCCAGCTTAAAATTTGGAGGCTAATTTTCCTCAAGAGTATCAAGTACCAATATCTTCAAATGTTGATACACTGTTACATCAAAGCCCCACTAATTCACAATTTAATATCATATACTACATAATCAAATTTTCAATCTTTCACAGCACATTAACAAAGCACTAGGAAAACTGGACTACCACACCAAAGATGTTCCAGAGTGCACGGACTTCCGACAGGGAGAGCCAAGATCAAGGAGTGGTTTCTTTAGGAAACAATTACACCAAAAACATGGCAATAGAAGAAATTTAAAATGTTCAAGACATTAAATGCACAACTGACTCCAAACTGCCATTTAGTATGCTTTGTATTACAGGATAGAAAAACCTTCCCCATCTATGGAATGTTAAGCTGACACCCAAGACAATCAAAGCCTCCCATATTCAATATCCCACCATTTTCTGGTTGTACCAAAAAATAAACAACCAGCAAATGATTTCACCTCTTTAAAAAAAAAGCATTTACACTTTAAAAAATGAGATGAGGTGGAATTCCCTCCTTCTTAAAAATGTTTCTAGAGCTACTAAAAATCTTGCATTTACAAAATAGTTGATAAAAATATTCCTCTGGATTGTACAAGAAGGGAGACAGGGACCACTGATAAGACATGGTACATGATATTAATCAGACTTGGCTTCTTTCTCTCCTGCTTCATCTGAGGCTGGACTCTCCTCGTTTTTAGTTTCTCCATTTTCCACGGGTAGATCTTCTGTAGGTTCCTGGTCAGCCACGTCAGCCTGCTTTCCCTCTGCTCCCCTTTCCCCTTTCATTTGCACTTTCTTGTCTGCAGATTTATCCTTTCCGGCAGCCTTTTTTGGCTTCGTTTCCACTTTCGCAGGAGCAGGTTTGGCTGACAACTTCACAGACCTCCTCTTGGGCTCCTCCTTCACCGCCCCCTGGGCGGAGCTAACCTTCCTCTTGGGCAACATAGCAGCAGGGCAGGCCGTGCTGAGTGCCTGAGGGCCCGGTGCACCTTGTGGCTTCGCCAACCTGGGCTGCCTGGCTGCTGCCGCTTCTCCCGCCACCAAGCTGCTCGGACCCGCGATGGGGGCTCAAGTAGAATACATTTGAACATCAAACCCATGTGAAGGAATGCTTATGGTTACAAATTCTCATGGGAGCCCGGCCGGTGAGGCTCCGTGTATTGAGTGGCATCCCATGGACTGAGAGGTCCCAGTTCGGTTCCCAGTCAGGACACATGCCCAAGTTGCAGGCTCAATTCCATGTAGGGTGGCGCGCGGGAGGCAGTAGGTCAATGTTTCTCCCTCACATCAATTTTCTAGCTCTCTCTTCCTTCTAAAAAATCAATAAAAACGTATTTAAGAACAAACAACAAATTCTCATGGGAGATTTTTTTTTCCAGAGGCCAGACCAAGAATAATTTCTTTTAAATGTATCCTTTCAATCAGCCTTCTATTTGGAGGGTTCTGACTTCATGCAGTTTAAATCCCAGCTTCTTTCATTACATGGGCCGAAGGCCTCTTCTCCTAGTAAAATTCAAACCCCTTGGTTACTGAGACAGCACCAACATAAGCATACTCTTATTGTCCTGGTTTTCAGTCCCCTCTTTATTTGTGCCCCTTGGGAGATTCCTTTACTCTCTTGCAAGTTTATCTCTGCATCTGCAAATATGTTTGCTAGATTTGATACAGCATTATCTAGTTGTTTGGAAGCCCAAACCTTTTCACATTATCTAGTTTGTGGTATTGCCATAGAAATTCCCATACTTCACATAGCTCTCCAACCTCTTGCTTTTTCCTTACATACTTTCCCCCTGGAATCTTTGTCCCATGGCAAAGACAATACCCTGCCATTCCCAAATTCTTTAGAATAGTTCCTTCACCTCTTTGCCTTAACTGTGACTTGGCTGTTTCCCCAATGACACTGCTACCACTACAGCTAAAATGTCTCCCCCCCACCACAGTTTAGACTCTAACTTAGTGTCCCTTCAGGATCTCTATACTCTCTCAGTCATGCAACAACTGTCCTTTACAATATAGGCTCTAGACTTCCGGTCAAGATGGCGGCGTAGGTAAATATGGTACTCGCCTCCTCCCACCACCACCTCAAAATTACAACTAAAATACAGAGCAACCATCATTTAGAACCACCTAAAATCGGGCTGAATGTAAGTCCTACAACTACGAAATTAAAGAAGCAGCCACATCAAGATGGGGAGAAGGGGCAGAGGTGTGGATGGGCTGGTCCAGATAAAAATCAGGAGGACACCTCGGCTGTGAAGGTCCTCCCTGAGAAGAGAGGGGTCCCTGTCCCACACCAGGCACCCAGCTCAGGGTTCCAGTGCCAGGAAGAGAAGTCCTCATAACTTCGGCTGTAAAAATCAGCAGGAACTGAGGTTGAGGGAGGCTGAGGCTGCTGGAGCCTTAGGCAGCTCCTCTTAAAGGGCCTGCACATGGACTTATTTGAACTCACACCCTCCAGGCTCCAGCATGAGGGGGACAGCTTGAAAGTCACTAGAGACATACGGGGAAGAACTCAGTTGTTTGGTATTAGGGCGAGGAAGAACTGAGTTGTGTGGTGTTGGAGCTGGAGCTGGAGGGGCAGCTTTCTCCTGGACAGACTTGCTGTCAGAGGCCATTGTTCCTTTGGTGAGCCCTTCCCCGAGGTGGCAGATGGTTGCCATATCTCAGACTCGAGCAACCTGACTCACACTGTTTGCCCTGCCCTGGTGATTCCCTGAGGTCCTGCTCCAGCTAACTTTTGGGCCCACCCAAGCTGTTTCCAATGGCTTTACCATAGGATTGTCTTGTCTTGGATCTTGCTTCAGAGTTTCCTAAAATCTCTCAAATAAGCAGTATCTGGTCTCAGCGAGCCCCATACCTCTTGTTAAGTGGCCCCAGGCCTGGCACTAGAAGCAACCAGCCTTGGTTCACAACTTGGCTTTTTCTGGGCACCTTCAAGCCTAGCACAAGAAGCAGCCATCTGCAGATCACTTTGTAGTTTATGCTCGGTGGCCCTGGGTAGAACACAGGAGGAGCCTGACCTTGCATCAGAGCCAGCACACCCAGAGGACAGCTTCAGACCACATCAAAGCACCACCACTCTATCACCTCCACAAAGTGACACACTCAGTGAGTGGACCCAGTGGGTACCAGAACCCCATTGAAGTAAGTCTTACTCTTTATGGTAGTCCCCTAGACAGCTGATCCTCCAAAGGAGTCAGTGGGTACAGCCAGACCTTGTAGCTGATCAGCCTGAGTAAATCCCTCCCATTGACATGGCAATAGCAATCAAGACTCAGTTACAACAGAAACTTGGACAGTCCACACTAGAGGTGCATCTCGAGGGCCCAGCTGGGGTGATCAGGGAGGCTGTGCCACTGTATCCTACAGGACACCTACAATAACAGGCCACCCTATGATGCCTGGGAGATATAATAACTCTACCTACATAGAAACAACCACAGGGAAGAAGCCAAGATGAGGAGACAAAGAAACATGTCCCAAATGAAAGAAAAGAAAAAAACTCGAGGAAAAGAGCTAAACAAAATGGAGATAAGCAATCAGTCAGAGTTCAAAACACTGTTTATAAGGATGCTCAAAGAACTTAATGAGAATTTAAAGGAACTTAAGGAGAACTCCAAGTGAGAACATCAACAACATAAAATAGGACCAGTCGGAACTGAAGGATGCACTAACTGAAATAAAGAATAATTTACAGAGAATCAATAGTAGAGTAGGTAAAGCCAAGGAGCAAACCATTGATTTGAAATATAAGGAAGCAAAAAACACCCAATCAGAACAGCCAAAAGAAAAAAGAATCCAAAAAAAAGAGGATAGTGCAAGAAGCCTCTGGGACAACTTAAAGCATCCCAACATTTGCATCATAGGGGTGCCAGAAGGAGAAGAGAAAGAGCAAGAAATTGAAAACCTATTTGAAAAAATAATGACAGAAAACTTCCCTAACTTGGTGAAAGAAACAGACATACAAGTCCTGGAGCACAGAGAGTCCCAAACAAGATAAACCCAAAGAGGTCCACACCAAGACACATCATCATCAAAATGCCAAAGGAAAGACAAAGAATCGTAAAAGCAGCTAGGGAAAAGCAGTTCATTACCAATAAAACTGTCAGCTGATTTCTCAAAAGAAACTTTGCAGGCCAGAAAGAAGTGGCAAGAGATATTCAAAGTGATGAAAAACAATGACCTACAACCAAGATTACTCTGTCCTGCAAAGCTATCATTTAGAATTGATGGACATATAGAGTTACTCAGACAACAGAAAGCTAAAGGAGTTCATCACCACCAAACCAGTGTTATATGAAATGTTGAAGGGTCTTCTTGAAGGAGAAGAAGAACACAAATATGAACAATAAAATGACAATTAATACATATCTATGAACAATTGAATCTACAAACAAAATGAACAAGCAGAACAGAAACAGACTCATAGATACAGAGAACTTTTTGTCACTTGCCAGATGGGAAGGGGCTGGGTGGCTGGGTGAAAAAGATGAAGGAATTAAGAAGTACAAATTTGTTGTTAGACTGATGAACCTCAAAGGGAAGGGGGGTGAGAGGGTGGGAAGAGATAAACCAAAGAACTTCTATGCATATATGCATAACCAATTGTCACAGATATTAGTGTGGGGAAGGTAGGAGGGGGGCGGGATTTGAGAGGAGGGGGTCAATGGGGATAAAATGAGGGGACATCTGTAATACATTCAACAACAAAGATAAGTTAAAAAAATAAAATATAGGCTGTAGCCTGGGTGGTGTGGCTCATCTAATGGACTAAGTGTTATCCCATGGACTGAAAGGTGCTGGTTTGATTCCTAGTCAGGGCACATGCCCAGGTTGCAGGCTTGATCCCCAGGAGGGAGGGTGCAGGAGGCAGTTGATCCATGTATCTCTCTCACATTCATGTTTCTATCTCTCCCTTCCTCTCTGTCTAAAAAATCAGTAAAAACATATATATGTATATATATTTAAATATAGGCTCTATTACTTCATATTCTTTCTTTGTTGTCTCCTTTGTTTGCTTAGGGCCTTGACATGTGGGAAATTTCAATATTTTTGTGGATGACCTGACCAACATCAAGGCCTCTTGCCTATCTCCAACTCAAAGGGAATATAAATCCTACTCCATTGTGGCCACCCACTCCCACAACCACAACTTTGTTCTTTGGCATTATCCCAAACTAGACTATTTTTGGAATCTAAATCCTAATGAATAATTTACTCACCACAATCAGTTCACTATTCAACTCTGACAAATTTACACCTTGACCTTTGACACTTATTCAGCCCACTAATCTTTCCACACTTTCCCCTAAACCCATTAACTCCCTTGCATTGTTAGTCATCTATTTCTTTCCAGTGTATACCTATGGTGCAATATTCACCCACATTCTTACCAGCCACTTCAACTTCTTAGCTTCCTTATATTCTTTTGTTAAAAATATGTTTGGTTTTTTTATCCTCACCCAAGGACATTTTTGCATTTATCTTCAGATAGAGCAGGAGGGAGAGAGGGAGGAAGAGAGAGAGAGAACATCCATGTGAGAGAGACACATTGACCAGTTGCCAACCACACGACCCCAACCCGGGCCGGGGACGAACTGCAACAGAGGTACGTGCCCTTAGTGTGAACCAAACCCTAGACTCTCTGGTCAGCAGGTTGACGCTCCAACCGCTGAGCCAAAGTGGCCAGGGCTAAAATATGTTTTTATTGATTTTTTTATTTTAATTTATTTTTATTAATTTATTTTTGTTACAGATGTTTCTCCTTTTTTTCCCCATTGACACCCTCCTCCCTATACCCCCAACCCCATCCCCGGCTTTGTTATTCATGTCCATTGGTTATGCGTACATGCATAAAAGTTCTGTGGTTTATTTCTTCCATCCCCCAACACACCCTCTTCTGAGGGTTGTCAGTCTGTACCCACTTCTACGTCTCTGGGTCCACC